GCCTGACTTTAGCTCCGCCCACTTGCTTGCCCACCAGTCCGCCCGGCCCCGCCCACCTGCTCAGCGTCCTGCCCACCCCCAGTCCCGGCCACCTGTCTGCCTTTAGCTCCGCCCACCTGTCTGCCTTTAGCTCCGCCCACCCGCCTGCCCCGGCCCCGCCCACCTGCTCGGCCACCTCCCGCACGCTCTGCACGCTGGTGCCGTACAGGTGGCTGTTGTACTGGCCCGCCTCGATGAAGCGGTGACCCTGGATGTCCTTCTCCATCTGCTCCCGCGACGACACAAAGTGGTAATCCCGCCCGTCCACCTCGTACTCCCGCTTGGGCCGTGTAGTGTCTGGGGGGGGGGGGGGGGGGGGGGGGGGGGGGGGTGGGTGCGGGGGCAGGACCAGATGTCAGCATGTGAGCCAATTAAACTGCACAACCGTTACGATTAAGAGGTGGATGGCGCTGCACTTGAATGGAAATTATAACCCAACTAAATATAAAAAATATTATAATATCATTATAGGATGATAAAGTCATAGCAGATGTTGCCCTTAGGGTGTCACTAGGTCCCACTGTAGCCTCACACGTCCAGGGTTGGGGGATGAATCCCGGCCCTGACTCTGTGTGGGCTTCCTCCAATGCCACCTGCCCCCCCCACGCCCTTAAATCCAACTAACATGCTTTCGGGTGAATCTATGTCCCTTATCTCCCAGTAACGCCCGTGTCCCAGTGCCCCGTCACGTGTGCACTTACGGGGGACACAGGAGCCAAACTTGTCGGGGAACTCAGATAGCAGGTCGTCGTTCACCCTGTCCTTCGTGGGGCCCAGGATGATGATTGGCCGTGCATAATGAACTGGGTAAAGGGGGCGGGGCAAACAAAAGAGAAACTAAGCAATGAGGACACAAGGAGGTGGGGTGAAAATGAGCCAAGCCACGCCCACTCTGCTGGGCCCAGCAACAAAGGAAACCACAAATTTGTCATCAGGTTACTTTATGCCTATAATTATACTTTATTAGTGACATTTGAAGAAAAGGCATGATTTATAAGTTAACAGCTTTATACATGATGTACTCTGTATCCAGTCAGCTGCGGCCTCGAGTGGTGTAATTAACGCCTTTTCTGTTTAAACCTGAGAAATGAGGGGAGAAGTGAGACCTCAGGGAGGCTAGGTGGATGGGGGGGGGGCGGTAGCAGAACTGAACACTTTAGTTTACCTTCTACCTGCGTGACAGTCTCATAGCTTTTCACCGTGTCCTCTCTCCCTGAAAGAGGAAACGTCGCCAAAAATGAGCCGTCAGTGAGTGTCAGGCTGGTCGGCTTGGTGTCACAGCACTTTCCCCGCGGCTCCTTACCTATAGAGGATCCTATACTGTCTCGGCTGCGGTCCTGCGGTGGAGAGTAGAGTGGCAGTGCAGCAGAGAGCGGGAAAGAGGGAGTGAGAGGGTGAGAGAGAGGGGGGCAGGTGCGTACACACAATCTCACTCACACACACACACACATTAGATCGCTGCAGAAAATAAATGAAAAAGTTGCAACGCAGCGGAAATGTTCCTTCGCCGCTTCCTGCCAGGGTCTTTCGGACACACAGATGCCTGTTCTTTCGCTCAGGTCAGGGGCCCCTGGAAGGTTTTATAAGCCCTCTAGAATGTCTGAAACTCATCTTTCATGCTCACCCTTTCTTTTGTCTTCAGCCGAGACCACTCTTTCCGTTCTACCCTGTAGGGGATAACAGAGAGGGTTTAGGGGACATTAGTTATTGTTTTCTGATGATGGTGTCAGATGACATAGACTGACAAGCGGATTGATGCAATGACAGAGATAAATGGAGAGACACAGAGGCCCCAATACTGCCTGACACAGACTAAGAGGAAGACAAATAAAGAGCGATAAAAAAAAACTGACAGACGGACAGAAACTGAAACTGCCTGACACAAACTACCAAGCAGACAAATCAACAGTGCTACAAACTGACAGACTGAAACTGCCTGACACAGACTACCAGGAAGACAAATAAACAGCAATACAAAAACTGGTAGATGGACAAAGATTGAAACTGCCTGACAAATAAACAGTTATACACCCTGACAGCAGACATAGTGACTGAAACTGCCTGATATAGATTATCAGGAAGACAAATAAACAGTCATACAAACTGACAGGCAGACAGACACTGAGACTGCCTAACACAGACTACCAGGAAAACGCATGGGAAGACGAACTGACTCAGAGTGATACAAAGCCCCGATCACTGACAGGCAGACTGGCAGACAGGCAGAGCGCACAAGCGAAAGGCAGACCTCCTCTTGCTGGGTATGAAGCCAACTTCGTCAGCCTCCCCCTGGGCGCTGACGCGCCGCGCCTGCCACCACTCCTCGTCCCCGCAGTCGAGCACGTGCAGGATCTCGCCGAAGTGGAAGCCTACCGCCTGGCTGAGGAAGCCGCAGTCGGCCGTCTTGTCATAGTCAAACAAGGCTCTGACAGGGAGAAGGGAAGCCAACATGTGAGTCACCATGTTTATACAAGCAGGAGGAGAGGGGGACTGACATCATCACTGCTGGCTAGTGTCACATGCCCCTGGGTGACCTGCTATCTGTTCACTGTAAGGGTGCAATGGGGGCATGGATACCCTGGCGGACCTAGGGGGGGGCAACACTTAAAAGGGGCTCTTGAATATATAAAATTAAGAATTTTAATGGGCAGATGGGCCCAAGGTGACATTTTGTCAAGGGGTCTAGAATTTTTCGTTACATTAATTGTGATTTTTGGTTACAGACTTGTATCTAGAAGTATTTAGATTGTGTGTGTGTGTCTATATGTTTATATGGCTAAGTACCATACCCTACAGTACAACAGCAGAGACCTCCTGGGGCTGGACTCTCCAGGTTACAAGTCTGTACTCTTAACCACTTTAATGCCCCTGTCCCTTTAATACACTAAATGTCCTTATTGACGCTCTTGAAGGTCACACACTGATGTGTTGGTCAAAGAGGCGAACCCTCAGTTACCTGATGTAGAAGCCCCTCTTGGTGTTGCTCCTCAGCGTGGTGGTTCCTGAGCCCATCCCACTGTTCAGTAGCTGTTCTCTCAGGTCATGGATCTTTGCCTCGAAGCGGCTGTACTCTGAAAAGAGGCGTACGCGCATTCCAGTCAGGAGGTGTAACAAACACAGACCACACGCATTCCAGTCAGGAGGTGTAACAAACACAGACCACGCGCACTCCAGTCAGGAGATGTAACAAACACAGACCACGCGCACTCCAGTCAGGAGATGTAACAAACACAGACCACACGCGCATTCCAGTCAGGAGATGTAACAAACACAGACCACACGCACTCCAGTCAGGAGATGTAACAAACACAGACCACGCACATTCCAGTCAGGAGATGTAACAAACACAGACCACACACACTCCAGTCAGGAGATGTAACAAACACAGACTACACGCGCATTCCAGTCAGGAGATGTAACAAACACAGACCACACGCGCATTCCAGTCAGGAGATGTAACAAACACAGACCACACGCGCATTCCAGTCAGGAGATGTAACAAACACAGACCACACGCACTCCAGTCAGGATGTATGGTCTCTGTTTGACACACCTCCTGACTGAAGTGTATGTGTGGCGTAACAAACACAGACCACACACATTCCATAATCCCTGGGCTGTAAAGTACCATATATTCTGGTCTGTACTGCATCATACGCCCTGCTCTGTACTGTACTCACACAGCCTGTCTGTGGTACTGCACCAAACACCTTGGTCTGTACTGCACCAAACACCCTGGTCTGTACCGTGCTGCACTGCACTCACCCTCCGGTCTGTACTGTGCGATGATGGTGACGGTCTGTCCGGCGTTCTTCAGCGCCGCTGCCGCCTGCTCGTGTGTGGCCGTGCGCAGGTCCACACCATTTACCTTG